TGAATGTATGGTACGGATGCCACAGAGGGCTGTCTGTATCACTGAAAGCTCTAGGAGATTCGTTATCACAGCCTTACACTTTTTTATATCTCTGTTTCTGAAAATATCACATTTTCCTCACACAAACAATAATGAAAAACAAAGACTTTATCCCTAACCGAACATGAACAACAGTATTATAAAAGCAAAGCTAATAGTTTGTAATTATCTTTATAGTCATACAAAACACAATCAGTACATTAATTAGCAGAAACTCACAATATATTACACTTTTTAATCTAATTTGCCAGTTACAAATAATTCTGCTTTTAAATTTTATTTTAAATACATAATTGTAAATCACTTGGGTAATATACTCAAAATAAAATATAACATCTTCACCCTGCTCTCTTCTCATTCTTTAGAATAACAAAATGATTATTAACAACCTGATAAAGTCATTGCCTTTCGTGCAAATATGTATTCATGAAGTTCTTTAAAAATGGGAGGCTGTTGTATGTATAACTTTTCTAAAACTTTCCTTAAAAGCAAACAACACTTTATTCTTTTTAGTAGTCTAGGATACTGTCTAACCTATAAACAAGGGGCTCCAGAAGAGAGAGCTCTGCATGCTCTATCTACTTCCCAGCTACTATGACTTGGCCATATTTCCTTTATCTGTGCACACTTAATTTATCTAAACCTGAAAGAAACTTGATGACTCAGTTACTTCATAACGTTATTCTGAGGTAAGTTACAATTAGTTAGGTCTTTTGTAATAATAACAATAATTCACGCACCTTCATTTGGGCTACCATTACAGTAGCTGCAATGATTTAACGGCAGACAGAGGCTGATCAGTGCAAAGCTTAGTGCTCTAAAAATGAAAATTACTTGCAGTGTTGACAGATCTACACTAAAATTCTCTTGTCTCATGCTCATTTGAAGTTAGGAATATTTTTTCCAGATTCAATTTTTAAGTTGTTTTATTGAGATGTAACTGTTAAATTTTCAGTCATTTTGAACGCTAACACTGTATCCATACTATATTTATCAAGTTAGATTGTAAAAATAAAAATTAGTGTTTGGATGTATAAATAAAAATATCAAGTCAACACTTTTAGAAATCTTAAAAATAAGCCACCAAAATCATCAGAAACAGTGGAGACAAAGGGAAAAAAATCTAAGCAACATAAAGGTTAAAAAAAGACAACAACTGAGAAAAGCAGCAAAACAAACATATTAATATGCTAGATATGCTTTGCTTGGCCAGTGATAGCAAACCTACTATAGAGCTTTCAATGATACAAACAGCTGGTTGTGGCCTTCCAGCCCCAGGTTCACCTCCACGCCCACAATGCTTGGTGGTTACTTTCTCACCATGCTTATCTACAGACTCACTGAAACTACAGTATTTCCATTAGCATCGGATTACTTTGCCTACATGTAGCTTATTTTTGCAATCATTGAAATGAAAATAGTTTAAGAAATGTGTTGAATAAAAACCTTCTTCACATATACTTTTTTCTTGGGAGTCTCAAATGCTGACTGCTTGTGTTGGAAATACGTTTTTGCTGATGTTATTAATTCCTCTAGTTTAACTCAAGTACACTTTAAAACAAGAAATGAATAATAAAGACAAAACTTTTAAAAGTCCCAATGCTAGCACTTTTACTTGTATTAGTTTACTTCTTTCATGGGAAACTGAAGTAGTTTATTTCTTTCTAGGACGGTTGAGAGACACAGATAGGATACTCCTGACCTCATTATGGTAAAAATACAGGTCTGGAAAAGTGGGCCTGCAGTTTATCAAGTGTAAATGTAGGGCAGGGCAGCCTTTTCTACCCAGTTTTTATGTGTAAACCACTACTGTATCTTCAGATGAAACATGGATATGAAGGGGTAAATGTTAGCCTGCAAATGAGCAATGCATACCCGCACCCTGTGACACCCGCTTGACTCTGCAAGGGGCTAGTGAACATCTGGTCCAGGTAATACATATGCATACATTTGTCCCTGGATAAATGAACACTTCTAGTCACCAGTTTCATCTGTAACAAGAGGAAGCTGGATGATCATTTGATCTCACTGGTCCTGTTTCTCCAATTTATAGAGAAAGATCTTCTCTATCTTTACTTCCTAGTTAAGAACTTTCATGGCTATGAGGAGAGCCAGGAGTAGCTATCCCACAACTCTGTTCTCCACTGGCAGGCAGTATTGGTGGTCTTTGCATTATTATTTTGTTGTTAAGAAGAAACCTATGGAAAGCCATGACTGCTTCACATGACTCCTTGATAAAATGCTTTGACAAGAGAAAGCATGTTGAAGGACAAAGAGCATTCTGCATTGGAAAAACAGTACTTTGACCAAGGAATCAAGAAATGACAAAGACTGACTAATAAAACCAGAAAACCGTGTAAATGCTGGGAAATAGACATAGTACAAATTCTGGCTTCTCATTGCAGTTGGTGGAACTTTTAAAAGCAACCAGTGCTCGCAAATGTAGACTTAACTGTTCTTCAATCTATAGTTTCTCAAAATTCCCCACAAGCTTTGACTTGCAGAGTTATGCATACATTGCTAATGGATCACATCTCATGAGATTTCTATTAGTTTAATAGTACTTTTCAAAGTGAAGTTCACTGAATTCTTCTTCCATGAGGTCAAAACTAAGTTTATAATACTAAGAAGATATTTCTCTTTTTACTGTGGTACTACTTTCACTGAAAAAGCAAGAGGGATTTCCACAATAGAACTACACTTTAACCTTCCCTTCCTGCTATACGAACTTTGTGACATTTTTTTCTTAAGAGTACTTAAATCTATATATGAAGTTAAAAACAAATGAACAAACCTAAAATGTAAAACAGTATCTAGGAAAAAGTATTTGGCCCAAATTCTTCTCTGACATTAGCAGTTTCTTGTATATTGTAGACATACTGAAATATATACATAACCCTGGGTATCTGTGGATTCCACATCTATATTCAACCAAGCATAGACTGAAAATATTGAAAAAAGAATTGCACATCTGTAGTGAACAAACCTTTTTCTCTTTATTCCCTTAATGCAGTATAACCATTTACACAGCAGTAACATTAGGTATAAATAATATAGAACTGATTTAAGGTACACATAAAGCTGATTTAAGGATGTGTACAGGTTATACACAAATACTATGCTGTTTTATATGAGGGGAAAGCCATGATAAAGCCATGATAAAGAGTCAGAAAGTTGCTTTGCAAGACTCCTTGGTAAAATGCTTTGACAAGAGAAAGTATGCTGAAGGACAAACAGCAAATTCTGCATAGGAAAACATATTTTGGTCCTTGGGAAGTCCTAGAACAAATCTCCCATGGAGGATAAAGGAACAACTATATGAAACTGTATGAATGTTTAAGGGCAACAGATCACTAAGGCTTATTTTATCCACAGTTCAGTTGTGTTCCTATTATCAGCACAAAGACTTTTGGCTTCTAGCCATTGTGATAAGAATGAGTCCTGGTTTCTTCATCCATGAGATACATGATCCTAGGCAAAGTTAGTTTCCTTGTTCTTTACTTCCTTCACCTTAACTATCCGCTTAGTTGCTGTGCGTTTAAACAGCACTACACAGGTAGCCTGATTTTTTCAACAGAGATTGATACATGAAAGCTATTATTGAAAAATAAGCATGGCAAGACAGTTTCAACACTGCTAATCTTAAAAGGAATATATCTGGGACTGGTATTATGAATAAAATACTGAATGGAATTTCAGCTTCTAGGAAAGACACATGAGAATTGAGTGAGTCTTCCTACTTTTTTAAATGAAAAAGGGGGAAATTTCTAGGTTAGATAACAGCTCATTAAGGATACCCTGAAGAATAAATGGTTCCTATCCCATAGTAGATGAGAAACGAGGCTGAAATGCAAAATAAAATCCTTACCAAGAGAACACTATGCCAATAAACGTCTTCTTTATCAGGTGGAAAACTAGTACAGGGAAGCAACTAGTACAGGGAACCAACCACAGTCAAGGAGGAACTTCTGGGAACACAAGTCAGTAACTTTTTACCATAGAAACTCTTGACGTTTATGGGGCGGGGGCGTTTTCGAGATTGTAAGAGGGATGTACAGCAGTCTTTCCCTATTTGCTTGTAAGAACGGAACTGGGCCCATAGGCCAGTTCAGTCTGCTGGCACTTACCATAACAAGTGTAAAACGCCTTTTGAACACAGCTCCTGAGACGTTTATCACTATCAGTTATTACATCTATCCCTAGCCACGCCGGCTATATAGTATTCTTAGCCTGTAATTTCTTCCGCGATTTTGTGATTCACAAGTTCAAGCTATTCGGAGAGGCCTAAACTACCAAAAGAATGTACAACACACAAATTAACACATCCCTGCCTGCACCACTGACGGAGGTGGGGCTGTCCTGAGGCAGAGCATCTTCAGAAGGACAATGAACTCACAAAAAGAAAAACCGCCTTCGCGGAAAATCAGAGTCTTTTAAGACCTAGTTTGTAGAGGTCTGGGATACAGCTCCCGGGCAGCGCGAGGTCATGAATTCCATCAAATAAATAAACAAAAACCTAGTTTGTAAAGCAGCATCTTTAGGGTTGAGAGCAAGATGAGAGAGGACCCACAAAAGCCACTGAAAACACAAGTTAAACTACAACTGATGTTATACCAACACCCGGGGCAAGGAGAAAGGGCAAGAGAAGGGGGCGGGGGTCGAGCGGCTGCAGTCTCTCCAGCCTCAAGGCCCGTGATCTATAAAACCGACGGCCTATGCCACACTGGCGCGGTTCTCGCAAACCAGGCAGCCAGGGTCCCGCCGGTAAGAGCAGCCCAGATCCTCCTGGGACCCGCAGGCACAGGCCACCTGACCCTGGGCCTGCGTCCCCGCCGCGCTCACTCGCGCTAGTGCCAAGGCTCCCTGGCCCGAGCACTCAAGGCCGCCGCACACCCGCCAACCCAGGCCCCGACCCTCAGGCCCTCTGAGAAGCTCAATCGCGCCCAGCAGCCAGTTCTTACCATAGTGAGGCCAGCGCTGGCCTAGCCACATCACCCTTCCGGGCCCAGGGCGGAAGACGTGTGCACAGCCCTCCTGTCCTTCTCGCGCTCTCTAGCCCTCCGATTGGGTTTATCACAGCACCTCCTCCAGAGCGGAGCTACTCCAACGACTTGATAGGCTTCTCTTTCCGGAAAAGGCGGGACTTAGGTGACGATAGGCGGGGTTGTGGAAGTAACCGGCACTTTCATTGGCTACCGACCCCGGCGTTTTTTGGGAGACCGGAAGTGGGGGTCACTGAGAGGTAGGACCCGGAAGGGGCAGTGGCGTCTTTAAATAACAATATGCTATTCTTTATCGTTTTATTTCCTTAAAAACTATTTTTTAAAGTTCTCTGATATTTATCTCTAGAACCGCGCAGTGGTGAGCTCTGGGGTCTTCCGCTTGTAGGCTCTGGGGGGTGCCAGAGGCCAGGCCTCCTCCGCAGGGATTGCACCTGTTGGGTTCCCCTTTTTAATTTCACATTTTGCACCCGACCCGTTCTTAGGAACTCAGAGCAGCTTTTAAACGGCCCGTGTTGATTGTAGAAATAGCAAAGAACCTGAATCCGAAGGGTTTTGTTGAGTAGGTTGGTCATTTCTCCACTTCCAGACCAGTAATTGATTCAGTTCCCTAAAGAAATGATGGAGCAGCAAGACAATTTGGATGCCAGCTTTTTCTTTTATAAAAAACTATAGCAAGCTTTTGTCACTTCTGCGTGACTTATTTTTTTCCTCAGGCAGCACAAGGTTCTTTTCAGAATGTTCAGAATTAAAAAAAAAATGGTGCAGAGGTAGATAGGGAAAGGAAAGGGAGGAAGCTCGTGAGTATGCTTGCAAAACTGTGAGACTTAAATATTTAGGGCAACACACTGATTAGAAGATTTGGGTCTCTGCTGTGGATGATTAGATGGTTTACTACTGTGCACAATGATTTTGTTTAGTTTTAAATCCTAAGGAACTTGATTTTCCAGTCCACTATATGGAATTATCAAAAGGTAGTCAAATACACACATTTATTTTTTTTATTTTGAGAGTGGCTAAGTCACTGTGTTACCCAGGTTAGGCTAGAACTTGCCTCAAGAGTGCTGGGATTACAGGTGTACATCCCAACACCAGCTCAGTTATGCAGTTGTGCTTCAGGCTACCTGTGAAGAGCTCCCAGAAGCTGAAGTTATTAGAGATCACAATTGATTAGTTATATTTATGAATTTAATTGATTGGTCCATAAATTATTTTTTGAAATGGTATTTCACCAGGCTGTCCTAACTAGCCTCAAACTCGGGTCTTTGCCTCTGCCTCACTGGCTGTGATTACATACGTGTGCCACCACTTCCAGTTTAGTTCATAGGTTTGAATGTAGTTCAGTTGAAGAAAAGTGGAGCATGATATGGGCTAGTTATTTTTAATTATTCTTAGAGGAGCCAGTAGTTAAGGCCCAGCACATGTGAATAATATTTGTTGCATTCGTATAAATAACAGTCTGACATGTGATGAGGTCTTTGGGGAGACAGTACTTAAGCTGCATGGTTATGAAGTCTTTCTGGCAGCTCTTCTTTGAGTTTTCAAATCATTTTGGTTCATTTTCTTACAATAAACTGACTATGACATCCTGTTGTTTGGAAATTATTGTGTTTCCTGCATCTGGAAGAATATTTTCAACTTTGGTTTCTTTGTTCCCTAGAATTATAAATAAAAATAGTACATATTTAATTTTTTTGTGAAGAGTATGCACAGGCTTCCTCAGTGTTGAGAGGATTAAATATGTAAGTCATCTAGCTACACATTTGGCTTAGAGTAGGCACTCAGTGAGTGCTATTATGTGTGCTTGGCTTTCTTTTTCACTAAAGTAAAAGCTCCCTGAGGGAAGGGTTAATGACAGAACAATGATTTGCATAAATTAGGCTCTCAGTAAAATGTTTTAAAACACTAAATTGTTACTGCTTTGTTACTGTCCTACCACTTTCTCCCCATTTTCTCTTTACTTTGTCTAGTATTAAGAATAATACTGATGCTTTTCTTTTACATTAATTGCCTCTTTTTCATTCTGATGTATTCACTTTATTAAAAGAGAATGTTTTTGCTTTGTTTCTGATTCTCAGCTAGACTCCATAGCCTGAGGTTGAGGTTATTTGTTTTTCAGTGTTCGCCTTTGTATTCCCCACCAGTCCCCGTCTAGTGTCCCGTCCCCCCTCTCCCCGTGGTCTGGGAAAGTTTAGTTTGACCTGTGTATTATTGGTTTTTTCTTTGTTAAGAAATGTTTCATTTAACCTCTCTACATTTTCAACCTTATTAATTTTCTCTGCAGGGGAATTATGTAGAATTCCCTATGCTCCATGCCCCAATTTCTTTATTGTTTCTTGTTATTCCTTTCGATAGCACTTGGGATTGAACCCAGGGCCTCCGCATCCCTCACACTTTTTCACATTTTGAGATAGGGTCTCACTGGCTCACCACGTTGCCCAGAGTAGACTCAAATGAGTGATCCTCCACCTCCCAGAGTGCTGTGATCACAAGTGTGCACTACCATGCCAGGCTCTGTTCTTCTTCAGTTTACTCTGACATGGTCACTGCTCCCATTCTTCTCTAAGATTCGCTTCTTAGTCACTATTGATCTCTGGATAATAATCATTCTCAGTCATCACCATATTTGGCCTGCTACCAACTTGGGATATAGTTGATTACTCCCTGACCTGTGATCCGTTTTCCCTAATGGATTTGTAGAACTATATTCTTGGTTTTCCTTTTGCCTCTTTGCTTGCTCATTCACAGTCTGCTTTCCTGGATCTGTCTATTCTCCTCACCCTTTTATTGTTGAAATGTTCTAGCACTTAATCTTTGGCCTACTTTTCCTTTTTGTGTCTCCTTTTGATGACATCAGATCTTTTGATTTTAAAAATCTTCATACCAAAGGCTTCTACATTCAGGTTTCTAGTCCTTTTTCTTTTTTCCCTATCCATTTGCTATCTCTGCATCTCCATTTATATATTTAAAAGATATCTCATTCAACCTCAAATGTACACTCTTCTTTTTTTGATACCAGGGATTGAACTCAGGACCTTGTATTTACTAACCAGGCACTTACGTGGCTGAGCTAACCTCCCGGACCAGTGTACTCTCTTCTTTCCAAATTTGTTTCACTTAAATTCTTTTCAAATTTGTTTCAACAGTTTTCTATAGTGTTTTTTTTTTTTTTAATTAGAGCTCTTGCTTAAATTTCTGTTGCTAGCAACTATCATTTATTATTTGAATTACAGTAATAATTTTCTCCTTGGTCTACTTCTTTAATCCTTCCTTCCTAAAGTTTATTCTCATATGCTAGACAGTGATACTTTTAAAGTATAAGTCAAAAACTGTGTTAAGATACAGGATTCAAAGTGCAATGTGTTGTCCTAGATTCAACACTGGAATAGAAAAAAAGATATCAATGGAAAAACCAGTGAAATCCAAATAAAGTCTATAGAGTTTAGCTAGTAGTAGTTGTATTAAGCTGATTTCTTAGTTTGAATAAATAAACCTTAGTAATAGAAGATAGTACCATTAGAGGAAAATGAATGAGAATGTATGGGCTATTATCTTCGTGACTTTGCTATAAATGCAGAATTAGACCCAAACAAAAAGTTTATTAAAAACAATGTAATGTTATTGTTTTGCTTGAAAATCTTTTGTGACTCCTAATCTAATTCATGGTAAAAAGTGGTTTTTCCAGTGATCTCTGAGACCCTGCGTGATCTGGTCTTCCCTTACCTTCCTTTACATGGTAGTAGCCAGCTTGGACACCATGTTTCTTAAATATTCTGGGCCCACTTCAGTGCTTTTTGTGTAGCTGTTTTCTTGCTTGGAGTAGTTTTCTCAGAGCTTCACACAGGAAATGCCTTCATGTCTTTTATGTATTTGCTCCATTGTCACCTCTTAGAAACCCCCCTCCAGCTTCCCTTTACTTCTTTATAATTGCAAGTTTAAATTTTGTCTACACCCTTGTCCTGCCTATGTATTCACAGTTTGTTGTACCATTTTGGTTTCTTGTTTTACTGAAATAATTATCACTCTGTAGTTCTCATATTTGTTGTATGGATTTGTAATGATTCGTCTTCCCCTTAATTTCCTGAAAGCAAGAATTTTTGCTTTATTCTGTCTTTTTTTTTGTTGGTAGTAGAACTCAAACTCAGGACTTTATGCTTGCCAGGCAGGTGTTGCACTGCTGAGCTAGAGCCTCAGCCCAATTTTGTTCTCCTAAGTAACATACCAAGCATTTGTCAGAAGTTTAGAAATACTGAATAGATTATGACTAGATGAAAGAAATGGATTGTTTGAATTTGTAATGACTGATTTGCTATCTGAAATCATTGATTAGGAGACTCTTGTAGTCAGCAGATATTTAATGTTGGTGACATTTGGCTGTTTTGGGGAGAACAATGCTGAGATTTTTGTTGCCAAAAAAAAAAAAAAAAAATCCTAAAACTTAATACTTCTCATAAGGTGTTCATATATTTGTGAAATGCCAGTTTTATATTAGCATTGGGAGATCCCAAGGTGTGTTTACAAGACTTTGAAAAAGCTTTATTTCAGTCATATGGACTTTTGCAATTAGGTTGATTTAATAATTAGTTTGTTAGCCTGATTTCTGTCACTTGGCACAACAGTTAGGTAAATAAATTTTATATTTAATCCGTTCAATAATCTTAGATAATGAGCTTGACTTCCTAAGTATTTTTTGTGATTGACATTCTAAATCAGGCCTCTCCTCTATATAGATCATTGTTGTAGACTATAAATCAGAGGTTATTGAAACCTTTTGGAGCTTTCAGTAATAACAGACGGCCTGCTGTAGCCCGCCTGCCATAGGTTCACCACTGCCGATTCTAAATCAATGAGGGGGCAGAGGGACATTTCTCCTGTGCTCCCTAAGGTTCACCTTAAGATTAGGAGACAAACAGACAAATACATTAACATGCCAAAGAAGAGCAAATCCCCAGGGGGGAAATGACATTAGTGTGATTACTCACCAGCCACATTATTCAGAAGCTTTTTCTTGGGGGGGGGGGTCCTAGAGAATGTCTGAGAATGCATAATAAATTATTTTAGGGTGACCTGAGGGCTTTGGTGTGCATTTAACAGCTGGAGACAAAATCTGTCTGACC